ACTCCCGTAGCAATCTCTGAAAGAAAAAAAAAGTCACCTTAGTAGTAGTAGTAGTAGTACTAATAGTATTCAATAATGTCGAAACCGGAACCTGTGAAAGCCGGAAAACTGTCTTAAACGAAAAATGTCTCCGGCCAGTAAAATTAAATGTTTCACTCAGCATTAGACGGAACCTGTCCAATACAGAAACGGACGGTGTTTTTAATGTACTTCAGCAAAAGAAAACCTTCTAAAACGGAATTTCTGTGATTTTCGACCTTGTTATTTAGCAGGTATCGAAAACCTTGTCACCGACGGGACTCGAACCTAAGACCTCCCGGTCAGAGGCACTGCGGTGACATTAGTTGATACCCTGAGCCACCTCTTGGTGCAATTGACGCCAGAATCTCTTAATGGAATAAATGCATCTGCAAGTCTGTTTTAATTTCTCTGTCCCTGCAATGTGCATTTCAGTCGTGACAGTCGGACAATGAAGGTGAGGAGCTTCAGCTGGGGTCACTTGTCTCTCAAGGTGTATGCGGTTGGGGAATTCCCTTCCTCCCTCCCGGCTCTCTCAACGAGGGAATTTTTACGGGCATGACTTCTGTTCACACGTCTCTCGGGCCCGTGATGAAAATAATAAACCGTCGGCCAGAGCCGCATTGGTCACGGCCATGCGAGAGCATCAGTATGACATAGTACTTGCAACTTCGTTAAAAATAATATTAATTATGTGTCACGAACAGATTACTCCTCTCTTAAAAGATAAAGACTTTGAAATATCCGTTATAGATTTACCGAAACAAAGAGTATGGATCTTATGTACATACCACAGCCCTGCAGGAAACACAAAGGTTTTCTTAAAAAATCTTGAAATTGTTCTTTTCAAACTTAAAAGACGCAGAAACTATAAAAATTATATTATGTGGAGATTTTAATATAAACTGTTTGTCAAAATCAAATGAAGAGAAACTATTCAAAAATTTACTTAAATCTTTCAACTTACAAACTATTATAAATCAACCTACCAGAATATCTAAAAATAGCAGTACTGCCATTGATCAAATAATAATAGACACAAATAATTGCAGCTATTCAGTTGTTAAATATAACACAAGGTTTAGTGACCATACAGCGCAAATACTCAAACTCAAAATGGACACAAAAGTTATTAAGGAAACACTGTATAGAGAAAGCCGAAACTTTTCTCAGGAAAATGTAGACAAATTTAACTCTTTAATAAATTCAGAAAACTGGGAGGAGGTGTACAAAGCGACAGACACAAATACCAAATTTAACTTATTTATAAGCAAATTCCAAAGTTATTTCAACACTGTTTTCCCACAAACACTGAAAAAACTAATAAGCAAAAACCACAAATCATGGATAACAAAAGGAATCAAAACATGTGAAAGAAAACAAATCATGCATGAAACAATCCTTCACCACGAATGTAGCTCTGATTTAATTTCTTATTACAAAGCATACAAAAGTATCTTGAAGAAAGTAATTAAACAGGCCAAACTGTTAATGAATGATCAATGTATTGCCAAAGCACAAAACATAACAAAAGCAATGTGGAACATTGTGAAAAATACTCTAAAAACAGAAAGACTACGAACATTGAACTTCATTACAACAATAATGTTCTGCGCAACCCACAAGCAGTAGCAAACACATTCAATAGACATTTCTCAGAAATTGGAGAAAAATTAATTTCTTAAATAATATAATTATGCAGTTAAATATCCACATATCAATAAATGTAAACTCCATATATATCTGTGAAACATCACCTGCCGAAATACAAAAAATCATAAATCAAGTGAAAAAAAAAATTCTCTACAGCACTGGATAATATCCCCGACTAGCTCATTAAACATACTGCAACAAACAGAACCACTCACTCACGTTTGTAACCACTCCTTAATGACAGTTATCTTCCCAGAAATTCTCAAAAATGCAAAAGTTAAACCACTATTCAAAAAAGGCAACACTCATGATCTCATGAATTAGACCGATACCCTTACTATCTGGATTCTCAAAAATTCTAGAAAAGCTTTTTAATGATAGACTCAAAAATTTTCTCAATTCAAATAACATATTAAAAGAGGCCCAACACGGATTTAGAAATGGTAGATCTGCAGACACAGCTATCTTTACCTTTCTAAATGACATACTTGTTGCTCTAGATCAGAAAGAAATCCCCATTGTTTCTAGATCTATCAAAGGCATTCGACATTATTGACCATCACATACTATTATCCAAACTTGAAACTTCGGGAATTAGAGGCATTGCACATCAATGGGTTAAATCTTACCTCTCAAATTGTTGTCAAGTAGTCACAATCAAGCATGTTAGAGATAAAAAGATTTCTACCAGTTTTTCCCAATCTAAAATGATAAATTATGGAGTGCACAAAGATCAATCCTAGGGCGCATACTATTTCTAATATACATCAATGACATGCCCCTGACCCTACAAAAGAGCAAAATGGTCCTATTTGCAGATGACACAAACATTATTATTAAAACAAATACTCAACAAACCCTACAAAAAAGAAACAGTCCTAGAGGCATTAGTAAAATGGTTCCAGGAAAACAAACTCATCATAAACGCTAGTAAAACTGTCTCCCTAAACTTTCGGAATCCACTCTCTAAAGAAAAGCCTCCAGAACAATTGATGATAAAAATCCTGCCTGTAAAATAGCCCAAAAACAATTTTCCTTGGATCGACTATTCAGGATGTTCTAAAATGGAACTCCCATATCAGAAATCTAAACTACAAGCTTACCAAGTCATGTTATGCCATATACATCCTGAAGTCAAATTCAAACTTAGATACGCTGCGAATGGCTTTGCAAATGTTCACTCACACCTAAAATATGGAATAATATTCTGGGGAAATTCCCCAGAACTTTCATCATCCAAAAACGAACATTGAGAACAATGACAAACACTCACAAACATGAGTCCTGCAAACAATTGTTCAAAAAATTACAAATATTACCACTCTCATGCATGTACATATTTGAAATATTAATCTTCACAAAGAAGACACTTAGAGGATTCTGTTACTCTGAACACAGAAGTTCATAAAAAAGAAATCTGCATGTTCTACACTGTGAAACTTCACTTTTTCACAAAAGTACCCGTATAGAAGGCATTACACTATATAATAAATTCCCTAGCGAATTTAAAAGCTTAAAATCGTTACACTTATTCAAAAATAAACTGAAAGCTTTCGTGCTAAACCACACATTCTACAGTACAAAAGAATATATGCATCACAAACACGTATCTACATCAATATAAACTAGTACTAATAATTTTTTATTTTTCTGTTGCATGTTTTCAAACCCCTCTAAACTGGTTGTTGGATATGAAGGTCAGACCCAGCCTAGGCACAAACCCATGAAGAATTTCTTTTATTATTATTGATTTTTAACCTAAGTCTTCTTACACTACCGTTATAAAATTAATATTAATTTATATTATAGCTTTCCATGATATTGTATTTAATATGAGAATTGAATTTTAAATTTAATTTATATCTTGTATTTAATTTTTAGAAATATCTGTATTGTGTGTTGTATGATTATATACATATGCTGACTTGTCATACATGGCGTATGCTGTATTTATGTGACAAATATATTATATTATCATTATTATTATTAGTAGTAGTATTAATTATTATTATTATTATTATTATTAATTACTACTACTACTACTACTACTACTACTATTACTACTCTGGGCTGTGATGCATTGTGTGTTGAAGAAATAGAACGTAGTCCAGCTGCATCCACTAGAGAGTGAGGTAGGTAGTGAATTTTTATGAGTTTCACAACCAGTTTAACAACGCTTGAAAAAAACAACATAAAACTCTAAATATGGTTATAATATATAAAAGGTTTCTTGCTCTCTTGGGCTGGTCGCAAAAACGGATTATTATTAGTCAGCAGTATTCCAATAAAATCTGAAGATCATCTCCCAGTTTAGTTCTGTCACACAGATGTGAACACTAATGAAGTATTAAAATGCTTCTATGTCACTTCAGGGAAAAAGATTGTGGCTGTTTTTGAGAAAATATTTTTAATACTGCCTATATTCCACACAAAAGTACATGAAAAATACTACTTATTTTTTCCCAAAATTGTACATGAAATTATATGAAGATGTGTTAAAGCAATACATTTATGAAGGAAAAAAATCTCTATCTTTAATATTGTAATTACAGCAAGGCAATGAAAAAATTTTGAACTTTTGCAATTTTCAAAAATTCAGTTTTCCAGACCTGCATTATTTTTTTGTTATTTGTTCTAGCTGAGAAAAAAATGAAACCAAACATTTTAAGCCATTTTTGAGAAAATTTTGAGTTTGCATGAAAGTATTCTCAAAAAACCAAAACATTTTCCAAATTCAAGGGGCCATGACATCAGCCAAAAACATCAGGAAATGTTAATTTTGGTGAAAATCCTGACTACAGATTAGCCACTAGCATTGTTCACAGGCACATGTTTTCCATACAACAATTTTTTGATATCAAGGAATTACAAAATGTTGCTTCTGACCTAATCAAAAAACTTTGAGCCATATTTGAAAAAATTTTGAAAATTTGAGGCTTCATGTAAAGTACCCCCAAAAATCAAAATATTCATTTCAAACTCCGAGGGCCACAAGTCTCTTTTCATTAATCACGTAATATAAATTTTGGAGAAAATCGGCTGAACGGTTTTGGTGCTAGTTACCACATTATGACAGACAATTGATTTCTGCCCTCGATCGATTTTTCAGTACCAAGAACACACAAAATAGATTCTGACTAAACATGTTAGAGGAAGAAATTTGCTACATATAGAAGCAAGAATTATCCACTTTTCTAGAATAACAGGCTCTTTAAACTTGGCTGTCGAAATATCACCGTATTTGGCTGCAGCATTACAATATTTTGTCTTATACTACATAGTATACAAAAACTAAACATTAAATGTAATTAGTTTATCACAATAGTATTTATTGTTGCATAATCAGAGTCAAATATATAGATATACATAAGACTGGACATTGATATTAATGTTCAATTGACTTTAATTAATAATGAGATATCACAAAATAATTAAGATGTAAGTCTACTAACTGGATACAATGCATAAGGTTTATGATACAAAAAATTCTTTCCATTTCATGAATTACAACAATAAAATCAATATTTAAATTATTTACATATTCAATATACAATTTTCATTATAAATTTTCTATAAAACAAATTTATCTCCAATGAATTTACAAGGTGAAACATAACAGTAACTTAAAAGTTATGGGGAAAATAATTAAAAATATATTTTCTTAAAAACTTAGGAATATTCAGTCATAACATTGAACTTTGACCATCACAGTTAATTAGTTCTTTAGAAAATAGGATAATCAAGGCACCTTCTTTGATCAAAACATTCAGAGGAAATGTCACTGCACATATATGGTGTCATTTGAAAGTTGTTAGTTACAAAAATAAAAGAAATCATAAATCTTTATGGAATTTTTTAGCATACATAGTCTGCATATTTGTATCTGATAGTATACAAAAAATTAGTGGCATTATTTTTAATATGAAACACTAATGGTTCAGTAAGTAGTTGCAACAAGTAAACACACATCCTTGTTTACACTACTGGTAATGCAGATCCATGAATATTTTCTTGAATACATATAATGCACAACATGATGTAACTCTCAGAATGATTGCAAGTTAATACAAATAGTATTGATTATATGTCAATAAACACATTAAATGTAAATTTCATTTGTGTACAAAAATTTTTTAAAAAAAGTAAAAATGTTCTTAGGAAATAAAAACATGATCACTTATTTTATATAAGAGTAAAATGTCCTTCTTTCCTTTAATTTATGCTGGTTTCCTGGGCCTTCTTCAGTAAAGGTAAAAGTAACAATCACTCCCTCACTTAATATTATTGTAGGTACTCTTGTTTAATAGAAGTTGCATGGAAGGCAATCAAAACCTTAATTAAAAATCTTAAAATTAAAAAGCTGCATGTTAATTATTTTAATATTCATATGAACAAAAAACATAACAGATATGGTGTAGAAATACATACAATGCATTTGCTTGGATGTCCAATGAGAATGGTAGCCAAATTTGAAAATCCTATGATGTAAATATAAAAATGTAACCAAATAAAGTACATAAATAATTATCTTTACCATTAAAGGACAAAAAAATATTTAAATTTAATTTTAACTAGATAAATATATAATGAATTTCAATCTAATAAACCATATACTCAAATTTAATTCTCTATTTGAAATACTTCAGAACTTAGGTAAATGATCCCATTGCTAACATCTTTTCCCCTCGATATTCTATGAGGTGCAGCACTTTATCTATGTATTTACACCACGAGACAACCTATGACTGTGATGAGAATGCTAGCTTTCCATCTCTGGAACTGTATTTCAAAACCTGGTCATTTATTTGGAATGTGTGGTGAACAATGCAAGTTTGGGGTATCTGTCCTGCCTTATTGCACCATTGGTTTACACTCATTCTTCCCGTCTTCAACATTCATTCATTTCAGCATTCACTCCAGGATGGTTGGCCTCACCCAGTTGACACCCTTTTTTTTCCATGGCTGTAATCAGGGCACTTACTTCTATCTGGCAATCCCAGAAAAAGTTGTAAAACGCCATTAAAACCTATGTTCCAATATAAGAATAACAGCATCAACTTAAATGTGCAAACATGGCCCAACCAATTAGATTATTTTCAGAATAGTCATGTGTTTTGTTTCTTAATTAAATGTTTAATAGTTTAATCTCACATTTTTTTAAATTCTTCACTTAGGGAGGAGTACATACACATACCACATATTCACACAAGATGGTATCAATGAAGTCACATTGTTCTACTCGACATCCCAAATAATGCCCATAAGTCATGGAGTTAGGACTTCACAAGTTAGGCTTTGCAGGAGTTGTCACTACAAAGCCAGAATTTAGAATTCAGCTCCCTTAATCATTGAAAATTCCACTCATTGAATAGCAGGTTAAATGGTCCTAGACTAGGGAAAATGCCCACCACTTGTCATTTATACAAAATATAGTAATGGTGGTGCGGTGGGCAGGTGGTGCGGTGGACAGTTGGTGCAGAGGTCAGGTGGTGGTATAAGTGGTCAGGTGGTAAAGTGGAGGTATCGCAGAAGAAAAAGTAAGATATCAAAGTTACCTCTGGAAGAAAAGCAGCTCAACTTCAAATGTGTGTTTCTAAATTCAAGCTGCACTTTGCAATCTTTTGGCCTTACAGTCATGACATATTAATACAAAAACAAAAGTAGCTAATTGCAGGCCATTTCACAGAAGAACAGATCAATGCATTTTATTTAGAATAGGCAGAAGAGAGGAAATAGCTAGGGTTCTCAACTGCAAAAAGGGTAAAATAGGAAACTAATTGTTTTTACTTTTCAAACTGCTATCTAGTGACTTAAAATGTTTTAGAAAAATTATTGAGCAGGACAACATTCAGAGCAAATTTCAATTACAAGCCATCTCATCTCCTGTGTATTGCAATAAAAAATAAAATAAAAAAGGTTGTCTGAAAGGAAATCAGTAATGCACACTGCAACAATTTGGAAATCCCTAAAATATAATTGAGTTGTGAGAGACAACAGTACATAAAAGTATGCTTAAATTTTAAGTTACTATGGCTGTGCATTAATGACAGCAGCAAATATCTAACCCAGCAGAAGACAGACATGGCTGATTAATGCAAAAAGATAAATCAAAAATTATTTTTTCTAGTCATATAAAAATGAGGGATTTTATGTACCACTATGTATGCATCAAGTATTTTCTTAAACATCTGAAAGCTGTGTTGCCACTAATCTGTGTGTCAAAAATGTATCACAAAATTATAAGTCATGTTTCCGTGCACACATGGTGAACAAAAATGATCTTTGTTTTCATAACCATGAAAAGTAGAGATGAAACAAATAATCATTTGTTATAGAAGATATTTTATACAACTGAAGAAAGAGAAAGAAAAAAAGAAAAGGATTTCATAAGCAAAATGATTGTTTCTTACATGATCTCAATTAATGGTGTTTTTTTTTCCTTCCTCCTCTTTTCTTTTTGCCCCTTAGCTCAATCTTGCTCATGCAAAACAATCATTTCAAACCATAAAAAAGAACTATTCTCAAGGTGCATCAAACCCAGATATCAGTAATTCATACAACACTTGTATTATTTGAGAACTGCCTGCATGTCTTTTGCTCTGTTAAAAGCATTTAATAAATTTTTAAGTCTATTTACTAGGAAAACATTGAATAGAGTTGACACTAGCAATGAGCAATAAGTTTCAGTCTTTATTCCCAGTACTCCTGCATCATCACTGAAAAAAGGGCAATTAAAATTGAGTCAAGAGTTTACAAATCACTTCAAATTCTTCGGCACAACATATTGTTTGCATTTAGTATAACATTCAGTTAAAATTTGCAATTTATTCATACTTATCAGTACTTGGCAGTTTTAATAATGCAAATATTTTCTTTAACCCATTAAGTACCAGATTTTTAAAATGAACACCCCTTGTATCATTGTAAAGTTTGGTGTTCTAGAATTGCATGAGGCATAACATTTTTGTAAAAAATTGCAGCAATATATTCTACAAATAAAATAAAATCTATCCCCAAATTGCAATCATGGTACTTGGCATGTAAAAATACCATCTGAAACTAAAATTGGATTTTTAATACAATTGGGTTGATATTCAAAACTACTTTTTAAAGCAAATAATATGTAACTTGATATCATAGTTTATGTAACAAGGGCGCAAAGTAGGTTATTCACACTTGAGTCAAGGCGACGCTCAGACGACAAAAAGAAGAGTGTGGGAATCACCTCACACCGATGTTGTGTATATTATTTTTTATAATGCCGTGATCAAAACGTAATGAGTCAAGTAAAGGTATATAAATTTTAATTTACCTTCCTTCTGCCTAAGTAAAAGGATTCCAGTCAGCCAACACTATTGTTTGTAAATAATAAACAAAGATATCGTCAAAATGAAAGACACTTGCAAATCATTACAGATGTTTCGCACACTGTGAAAAAATTAGCAGTTTCGCACATGGAAAATGAGCAAGAGAGACAGTGTTTTGCGCACAGTGTGTTAAAAATACATTTTTTACATAATTCCCACTTTGTTTTCACAAAACACCTTCTCATAGTATGATTCACATTTTCACAAGATATTTGTGGTGAATATTTCCAAGAAAATTGGGTACGAGCAGTCTGCTTTTAGTAGGAGCAATGCCATGGATACTTTTTCTCTACATACAATACCAAATACAGGTCTTAGCAATTACTACATTAATTGAAGTGGCAAAAAGAGGAAAGTGTAATTTCTCAAATTCAAATCATATTTTCTTGAACAATACAATTTTATTTCTTCACTTCACTCATGAATCTGTTGAAATGTGCAAGAAAGTATGGTTGAAGAGTTAACTTGCAAGCTATAATCTTCCTTCGACAATCTGAGACCAATAGCATGATACATCCAAGATTTGAAATTTTACAAAATTGGTGTCTTTCCAAATTATAACTATTACTCCATTTGAAGTTGTACACTTGATAGCACATGAACCACAATTTTCTTGCTCTATTTTTTATTGGTTAGATATAAACATTTAGTAATGCAATCAAAACTACAATTACCAGCTTCACAATAATCTCTCTTTCTTCCAGATTGCTTGAAATTTCAAAACTAGGAAAGAAGTTATCAAAATAGAAATATGTTATTGAGGTTTGTCAATGATTTGTATTAGTTGTAGATGCCCAGTCCATGTGGATCCCACCCGTAGGTCACCTTCTTTTCCCCCCTCCTCTAATCTCTCCTTCTTTAAATTTCTAAGTGGAAGAAGTATTCAAATTTGGAGCAGCACACTTTCCAAACTTTGGAATAGGAATGTATCAGTTTCACTGACAAAAATTGTTTTGAGATTCTAGTGCAGTACTATCTGCCCAACAATTCAAATAGTTTAGAGAAAATTTTAAACTATGAGTTAAATTTATCACACAGAAGAATAAGAGACCTAGACAAATGATGGATAGCTTCTGTAATAGTTTTGCACAATACAGCATACAATGTGTATCCTTACAACACACCGAGTATCATGATCCCAAAACGGGATCTACAAGAAAACCCTTCCTATAGAAACACTTGTACATCAGGGATGAAGAACACAATAATATTGGAATAGGAAAGTTTAAAATCTTAGGTTACTGTTCTAAAAATACCAAACCAACAAAAATATGGATTTGAGAAATTAACAAAATGCTTCTCGGTCCTGTGGCAAAAATTTACTGTGGTCTGCTTGTTACATGATAATGATCACCCCTAGTTGAAGTTGTGAGAAAAACCCAATGTCAAAGGATTCTCAAAGGTTCAGATACAGGAGTTTCACAATAGGGTTGAAATATTCAGGTATTCCAGTGATCCGCTGGTGATGGGTGGAGTGCGGCATTCACTTGTTCATAAACTGGAATTTATTTACTGTTTCCCCACACAAAGGTACAATTCTTGTGCCTTTTTTCTGGTTTTACTATTCAGTTTGCATATTTGAGTTTTGAAGGTGCCAAGGTTCAATTTAATGCAGCTATCAGCAATTATCTCTACAGAACAGACTGCTGTTGGGCGTGTGATGAAACTAAACCTTGTTCTGATGGTAATGCAGCAGTCTTTCTGTGCGACAAGTTTTACAGCACAAATTGCAAATTATTTCTTTGAAATATTTTTATGCCAGAAAGCCAACAAGGGAAGTCATGGAGGGAGATGATTTAGAGCGGCCGCCACACTAAAAACTTTTTTTTTAATGCACACCTTGCTGTGCACTGTATTTTAGTACTGTTTTCATCAAATAACATCAATCATGTTGCAGTGAACCACTCCCTTCACTTTGAAGACCCTGTAACTGGAGTCTACAAAAATGTTACTGAATTGTGTGACTTCTGTAATGTACATGTGAAACTTCATCTTATCACTATGTTGACTTCAGGTATGTCCATCCCCAAGATCTTCGACTCTTTTGCTTTTTGTTAGGTTGGTAATGCTGAGTGAAGAGAGGGTAACTTAGAACAAGTGAACATAACGCTCCACTAATACCAAGAAGATCACTATAATCTCCAAAAGTTTGTTAACAATAGCAACATAGTATTAACAAATGTTTAAGATCCCTATTTGGGATCATGGTACTTAATGGACATGAGTTAATTTTGACTTTTTTTCCACTATAATCAAACATATTTCTTCTTCTGCAACTTCTAATAATAAAATATGAGATGGATCATGCAAAGAACTTCATGGAGAAATATAACAAAATTGTCTAAAGCCTCTAGTGAAAGTCCAAAGTACTGAATAAAGTAATTGCTCAAAGAAATTGACATGATATACACAACAGATATTTGATAATGATTGTGATGATTTTTCATACGCTTCTTCTGAGATCATGAATGAAATGAATAGAAAACAAAACCCAAAAAGCAATCAGCAAACTTAATTTGATGTTGAATGTAATCTACAGGAGCTGTAAATATAGCCCAATTATTTCTTACAAAAAAAAGCAAAACCACATAGTTGTTGGAAATATCCCAACAATACAGAACCAATAAGGATATCAGTCCAATATAATTACATATACCTTATTTCAAAAAATATCACTCCACTAATGTACATGCTATTTTTGGAACTTTATGGGTCAGGGCAAGTGGTAAGTAGTCATGAAAACACATAAATGCATTAAGATAATAGGTACCCAATTTTTTGTTCATCCATTTCACAAGAGGTTGTTGTAGGGGATCAGATATCTATCCATGATATGTAGGAGGTGATTTGTTATCAGGTCCACTTGGAGCAAACATAGCCGGACTGTTACTTCTGTCATGGTGTGCTCCACTTGAGTGAACTCCTGGGACAATCTGGTGAACACTATCTATGTCTTCATATGGTGCTCTTTGACCTGTTGCACCTGCAAGAAAAAAAATAGGTTTATTTCACTATATTTTACTCCCTCATTTTATACCAACAAAAAGTTTATTCATTTAATAAATGAGAACTTAACACTAAACACAATATGCCAAAGCTTAGGAAAGTATAATATTACATCATAATTTTGAAGCAAAAAACAATAATTCAGCACATTTATTCCACGGTATATCCATACAAATGCATTCTCTAAAACGAGAGAGGGAGAGAGAAAAGGAGGGAAGGAGA